ACTTAAAGCCATACATTTTCCTTAGTACTATAAAATGACAACCCCTTAGTGCAACAGTTCTCAACCTCTGGGTTGTGCCCCCTTTAGGAGGTCAGACTCCATCTTCACAGGGGTCCCGTATCAAATATCCTGCATATCAGATATTTACATTACAGTTCATAATAGTAGTAAAACTACAGTTATGAAGTAACAATGAAATAATTTTATGGTTGGGGTCACCACACCATGAGGAACTGTATTAAAGGGTCGCAGCATTAGGAAGGATGAGAACCACTGCCTTAGTGGGTTAAGACTAATCTTTATTTCTTTCTATCCTTTCAGTTTCTTCCATCAAGAATTCTATGAGTAGTGAATATTGTTGTTTGATAAATGATTTAGAGTTCAACGAGAATGGACATTTAAATTAAAAAAACATTAATTTTATGGTTTTGCTCTTTTTTAAAAAAATCATTCTCCTGGTGTTCAGATTCATGATGGTTGTAAAGTAACGGGCTGAAATTAAGGTAGAAGTCGGGGATTCTTGCACTATCGAGCAGCTGAACTAGTCAGGAGAGTCGCATGTGCCTGATGAAGTAGGACTGCAGGAGGGTTGATGGAAGACAGAGTTCCTTTGTGTGGTTTCAGAAGTCGGTCACTGCATGCTAAACGCTGATTCCCCCCCCCCCATGGAAAAATTATATCTCAAAGGCATCTCCGATTCATTCTCCTGATATTCCAAAAATACTCATGTAAGAAACGATGAGCATGTGTTTCCTAAGAAAACTTGAAATTTTAGTGAGAGTTCACATAGCGGTATGTTTCATGCAAATTGACGTCTATTTTAAACAAGGATTTAGGTGCTAATTAATGAAAATCTGGGGAGTAGCTTTTATTTTAAGTAAGTAAAATCTGGAAAGTAAGTAATAGTAGATAAAATAAGCAAAAATGGGATTTGAAGGAAAAGTTTGGATCAGTTTTTGTTTTCTATAGTTGAGAACATGGTAAACAGTATTTTGTTGCTATTATTGCTACTGTATATAGTTGAAATCATGGAACTTATCAATGGAGACAACATCAATTTTATATGACCAAGATGTGTCTGCAAGGTTTTCTCAATGATCCGTCACATCGTAAGCCTTCATATTTAACGGTGTGTTCATTTTGTATGGTAGGCAAAAATGAATGTTATAAATAGATCCTTGGGATAAAACACTTGGGTAGGTGAGATGACTCAGCTGTCCAGGCACATGCCACCAAGCCTGACAGCTTGAGTTTGCTCTCTAGAACCTACATGCTAGAAGGAAGAATTGACTCTTTGAACTTGTCCTCTGATACCCATGCAGTAGTGTGCACCAACACACACTAAATACATTTTTAAAGTGTAAAAAGCAATTTTGAAGCCTACTTAATTTGTTAAGTATAATGCTGAGGTATTTTTGCAGTGGTAGAAAACTTCACTGTTTTTGTGGGAGAGTATGTAAAATTGGAGGAAAAGAAATCAAGGGTCTGTCTTGTCCTTAGTCAATAAGGAATGTAAGTTTGAAATCTTCCTCACCCTCTCTTAGTTCTGGTGATCAAACCCAGGGTTTCCTGCATGCTAGGCCAGTGTTGTAACATTCAGCTGTAACCCCAGCCTAGCCAGAAATCATTTATTACTAGAACTGTCAACCCAAATCAGTTGTAGCTGGAGACCAGTGGGAAGAAGTAATACTAAAATGAAGTCTTCTGTTTCAGAGTTGGGGAGCCTCACCACAGCTAATTTGATGGAGAAGGTACGAGGCCTCCAGAACCTGGCCTATCAGCTGGGGCTGGATGAGTGTGAGTACCCAATTAATTTTTTCTTTCTTTTTGTTTCCGAGACAGGGTTTTTCTGTATAGTTTTGTGCCTTTCCTGGAACTCCCTCTGTAGTCCAGGCTGGCCTCAAACTCACAGAGATCCACCTGCCTCTGCCTTCCAAGTGCTGGGATGAAAGGCGTGCGCCACCACCGCTCAGCCCTAATTAATTTTATACAAGGTTACATGTTGTATATTCCACAATGAGTTCTATTTATAACTTATGAAAATATACTTTACTTTTATCAAGGCAAATTCAAGCCATCTGAAGGTAGGAACTTGGTGTAACTTTGTGCCTTTTATGACAGAATGTGCTAGACTATTGACTGGACTCAATAGGTGAAAAAATCATTGTGCAATATACATCTTTTGGAACATTTTTTGTTTTAAGTGCTAGGATGTCAACTAAAACTAGCTTAATCTAAAGAGAGACTTGGTTAGTTCACTTTTGCTTATTAAAAATCCAGGGTTAGAAATAGCTTTGGTTATCTAGATCTGTGACCCTTAATGATGTCATTGGGAGTATTCTTTTTTTATTGGCGGGGGTGGGGAAGTGGGGAGGGGTTTTCCAAGACAAGATTTCTGTGTGAAGTTTTGGTGCCTGTCCTGGTTATTGCTCTGTAGCCCAGGCTGGGCTCAAACTCACAGAGCTCCGCCTGGCTCTGCCTCCCGAGTGCTGGGATTGAAGGCATGCGCCACCACCGCCCGCCCGTAGGGGTGTTCTTAGTCTTGCTTTGGTGTATGCAGGCTCCACTTTACTCACGTCGTTACCCATAGTGTCTTTGCTGCTGCCAAGAGCTTTTGCTCCGCCCTAGGGAAGGTGAGCATCGAGTGATCCAGTTTGTTTGACTGTCATGATTCCCAAAGGAAGGAAGAATGTCTTTCCGAGAGACTTTACCTGTTCTGCAGCAGTGCACATACTTGCAGGGCAGTAGTCAGTGAACAGCTTGGGAGAGCTGAGTCTCTTTCTGCTATGTGAGTTCCAAGGAACTGAACTCATGTTCTTAGGTTTGGCGGTGTGGTCCCTTAATCCACTGAGCCATCTTTACTGCCAAGTATTTGTATTTCTAGGAACTGACGCCATCGGGGTGGGGGTTAGTTGCAGTCAACTGATGCAGCCATCTTAATCATTGAACTTAGGTTGAACCACGAAGACTGTTTTTCTGCCAGTGTGGGTAGGATGAACGCAGTTGTTGCCCCTTTTTAAATGGTTGCTGCCTTTAAGCCACAGCTGTCCGAGTCAACAACTACCAGCAGCAGTTAGCCCCATGGGTGTAGCCAGAGGGAATTCTGTTCCCTGAGGCTCCGACTCTTGCAATGCTAAGAAGGGAACTTAACTAAACCTCTGTCCCTCTGAAGAACTCAAGATTCAAAGGCTAAGGTGGAATTCTGCTCTTCAGAATACCTCTCCTTGCTCACCTCCTCCAAAAAGCCCTCCTGCTTCTCCTGGCCCCTCCTTACAAACCCTTCTCCACCTGGCTCCTCCCTACCACTACCTGTCAGCCAGTTGCTGACTAAGCCTCCTGACTGCAGGTCAATTTTATTTAATCAAACACATCTTTGCATCATTAAACAAATGTTCCTGAGCATAAACAAAAGTAACACACCTTGAAATAATATTCTACAACACACAGTAGAGACACAGATTGTTATACTTCATAATTCAGCCTATTTCAACTTGTGTGACAGTACTTTGTAACTGCTATTGTCCTTGGCCATAGTGAGTTTATTTGAAGTAAGAAAATACTTCGTTAGAAATTGAAATGACTACATTGATATGGATTGGAGTTCTTGGATCCAGTCTTTGTTTTAGTGTGTATAGTGTATTTGCATAAGAACATCTTTTTTTTCCCTCGTAGATTATTCATCTACACACGGGTTGTCTTTCACTTGACACCTTAATCTCGTGTTTCAATGTCTCGGTATTTTTTTCCAACATTAATTGAAAGGATGACATGAGTGAAAAATAAGCAGTAGGAACTGATGAATCCCAGGGGACCAGTGATACTGTTTTCATGCAAATATCTGCCTTGATAAAGATGATGAGATGAGAAAAATGCAGAAAATATTTAGCCTCAAACCCTGATTGTCATTTCGCAGCATTGCTAAATGTTAGTATAGGAGTAACAAGAGCCTTCTAGTGCTGGTAGTAACTAGAGTGTATCTTTTGGAAGGTGAGCCTTGTGTTAGTCTTGGATTTGCTACATGGCTATAGGTCAGATAACCCCCGTGTACAGATTTTAGAATACAAGTCACTTTTTTATAGATTTGTTTCATTTTTAAGGTACTTTTATCATTCTTGGAAATTTGTTTTAGCCCTTGGATTAAATGTAACTTTTCAAGATAAAAGTCATTGTTTTGAGACTGCCTTTGGAGTCTGTGGATCAGCTGATATAACAGCAGGTTTGCAGTGTGTGAACGCTTGCCAGTGGGATGAAGGAATGGTCAATTAGTGATGCCCCGAGATGGATGACACACTCTGTCTGCTGAAGCCCATTGACTTACAACCGAAAGGACGAAAGCTTCTGAAAATTGCTTTAGTTTTAGGTAATTGGTGTTTAGTGATGAGAAGTAGTGTTTGAAGATCTTGTGATATTTTTTCTTCTTTTATAGCAGTAGATAATTATATAGTACATATAACATGAAGTGTGTTAATTGTTTGGCTGTATGTGCTTGAACCTTGCCTCGTTACCTTTATGCTGTGGGTGGGATACTGCCTTAGCCCTGTGAATTGCAACAGTAGGTTGTTGCTTTTATTCCTGAGACCCATTTAATTGCTGTGAATCCTACTACTGATTCTCTGCAATTTTTTCCCTTTTCTGATTTTCTTTTTCGGGGTTTTGAAGGTGACAAGCTTTCCAGTAGTCATGTAAATCAACTTACTTATTTATCATCACTAACTTGGAAATAACTGAAAATAGCTTGTAAAGATTTGGAAAAGTGAGAATCATATCTTTGCAGTTAGAGCTAAACCTTGGGACTCTGATGCATTTGGATTTTTGTTGTAACAACTTTATTGAGCTGCAGTTCATATTCCTGTAATTCACCTATTTATCCTGGACAATTGAGGTCTAGGATGTTTTCATTACCACCCCAAGCCCTGGGCCCTTCTCTTCCTCAACTCTTCTCAAGCTTCTGTGGGTTCAGCCACCGCTAATCTGTTTGATGTCAGTTTAGATTTGCCTAGTTTGGAATCATGGAGTATGGAGTCTCTGTGACTGGAGTCTCGTTTTATTCTTCTCTTTTTTCTCTCTCTTTTTCATTGTCTGTTATTCAAAGTGCTGGGGGTCAGACCCACAAGCCTGTATATTGCCAGATCCCTCCAGCCCTGAATTCTTTTACTGAAACAGTATTTTCAGTGTTCAGCCGTGTTACAGAATATATCAATGCTCTCTTTTGTTTGGTCAAATATTTCTTTGGGTAGGTATATCACATTGTATTTACCACCAATTGAGAGACATTTGATTGTCACTATTAGACTTGATGGACAATCCTGCTATGACAAGTCATGTAGAAGTTTTTGTGTAGATGCATTTTCGTTCTCTTGTGTTTATTACTGGGGTCATATGGTAGCATTGTATCTGACTTTTTGGATTTTGGAGACAGGGTTTCTCTGTGTAGCTCTGGCTGTTCTAGAACTCACTCTGTAGACCGGGCTGCATTTGATTCCACAGAGATTTGCTTGCCTCTGCCTCCCAAGTGCTGGGATTAAAGGTGTGTTCTTTGTTTGTATCTGACTTTTTGAGAAATTGACAGGCTGTTTTCCAAGCTAGCTGAACCATTGTATATCTCTATCAGCAGTAGAGGAATTTTTGCTAATACTTATTATTCTCCTTTAAAGAAATGTTATATCCATCCTAGGGGTGTAATGTTCACTGTGGTTTGGATTTGCATTTGCCCAATGATGATGGATGCTTAACATGTTTTCATATTTTTTTTATTTCACTCTCTTACCTTAGTTAAATTTCACTACGTTGAATGTATTACTTAAGAAAATTTTCAAGAATTTACCTTGCTTTGATAGCTACTTCTGTTCTTTTTAATCTAATCCTGTGTGTTTGTTTAGAAGTTGGAGTTATTCACCTAGATTTTTAGAGCTTTTAAAAACATTTTTGTCTAAAAGACATTTGAGACTTCCCTATTTAAGCTTTGCAAAAGATTTCTTTCTTTCTTTTTTTGTTTTGTTTGTTTGTTGTTTTTGTCTTAAGTTTAGACAGGGTTCCTCTGTATAAACAGCCCTGGCTGTCCTGAAACTCACTCTATAGACCAGGCTGGCTTTGAACTCATAGAACTGCACCTGCCTCTGCCTCCCATGTGTACAGTGTTCAAGTCTGTACCAATATATGGTATAAGTTTTAGTGGTTGTTCCAAAGAGAAAACAATGCTTCCAAACTCTTCTGTTAGGACCCTCTAGGCATGTGCTTTTGAAAAGTAGCTATATATTGAGAAATTATTCTCCATCTACATTTTTTGCTTGTGGGACAGGATGATCCTATATAGCCCAGGCTGGCTTTGAACTCATAGCAATCTTCCTACTTCCACTTCCCAAGTGTTGGGATTTACAAGCATGGACTTGTAGATGTAACCAACCATCTTATTAAATAAGAAACACAGAACCAATGCAAAGAAGAAAGCCAAGAGATCAGAGCTAAGAGCCTTACCCTTCCTGCTGAAGCTAGCCTCTTTAGCCAAGAGACCTCTCTGAAAAGAGACCTACTTCCTGTGTGTTTGTCTTTATATAGTCTTTCTGTTCTGCCTTCTCATTGGTTGTAAACCCAAACACGTGACTGCCTCGTCAGTGCCTGTATGTACAGCCCTCCAGGTCTTCTATGGTATTGAGATTAAAGTCTCCAATACTGGCTGTATCCTTGACCACACCTAGACCTTGACCACCACCTAGAGATCTACCTAGCTCTTCTACCAAGTGCTGGGATTAAAGGCGTGCACCACCACCACCCAGCCTTTGCTATGGCTCTAATAGCTC